ATAATAATCTAATTGCACTAAGTTCTATATCACATGAACTATGTGATAGATTTAAAGTATTTGGTGCATATTATAGGTTCCACTAGCAAATATAAATTATCCTCACAGAAAAGAGACCATAAAAAGGTTAGTATTGTTTTGTTTTCTTTAATATTAAATCATTTCTTGAAATATAACAAAAAATAAGGGAAACTCAAACTTTAACTCTTAAATTTCACCTAATATACACTAAACAAACAAATCCAAGATCCATCTTTTCTTAAATAATGTGTTTCCATTGGAAGAATCCATCTCTACTAATGATTTTAAATAAAGAATCCCAGGAGCATTTGTAAATAAATGGCTATTTGCTTTAAAATATAATTAGCTCCACTAAAATCACAGTATAGTGGTGTTTAAAAGACATGAACACCTATGAATGGAAAGAAAAGTAAAAGAGACTAATTATAGCATTACAATTCTGGAAACTGGAAATATGTGGGTGGCTGACTCAGCAGACCTAAGAAACTCAAAGCTGTATCCCAAGCCAGCAATGGAAAAGTTGAGAACCAATCCAATTTACATCACTCAATGTCCAAAAGACATAAGACATGACTCCTGCATCCACTTCCTCCAACTTCCTATCTCTATGGACTTCCAGTATCTAGTTTACATATTAGTTGTGCCAAATGCCATGACTGTGTGAACTCACTCATGATTTTGACCACTGACTTCCCTAGAGTGAGCTCTTGAAAATTCATGGGGAAACTAAAGCCACATTATGTTCTAGGAGTCTTAACAGTGGTAATATTACTCTTTCATTAAACAGATACGACTTTTGTTTAATTTTTCAAAATTAAAAAATATACTGTTAAGGATATAGATACAGATAAAATCATTTTAAAAAGCAAGCTAAAGATAAATAAAAATGTTAGAACACTGGTTTCCTCTGGGAAGTAGGGGAAAAGAAGATACAAAGGAAACATCTAAGGTTCTATTTCTTTACCTGGGAGGTGTTCAAATTTCTTAATTTTAATGCGCGATAATTTTTTTTTGAGACAGAGTCTTGCTCTATTGCCCTGGCTAGAGTGCAGTGGCATGATCATAGCTCACTGTAGCCTCAAACTCCTAGGCTCAAGCCATCCTCCTGCCTCAGCTGGGACTATAGGCAGGCACCACGATGCCTGGCTAATTTTTTCTATTTTTAGTAGAGACAAGTTCTTGCTCTTGTTCAGGCTGGTTTCGAACTCCTGACCTCAAGGGATGCTCCCATCGTGGCCTCCCAGAGTACTAGGATTACAGGCATGAGCCACCATGCCCAGCCTGTATGATACATTTCATCATTAAAAAAATGTAATTAAAATGATCTCCAAACCTTGAAGACTTAACTCTGTAGCTCTTTTAAGATCATCATCTTCTTTCTGTTCCCAAGCCTCCTAAAGGGACAAGAACAAAAACTAAGGTATTTAAAGAGGTATTAATTACACTTATTTAATGAAGATAAAAGCAGCTTCTATTGAAGCATTTGCTAATAATGCTTTCCACAACCTTATGGATGCCTGGAATATGACTTTTTGAGGGATGTGGAGAAGTTCTTTACTTTTTTTTTAACACTGTCCTCTTAAAACACAACCTTGGAAGTTAAAAAGGTTTAAGTGCTATTTCCTCTTGTCAGTGACATTTGGTTTGCCAACTGAAAACCATTCAATGTGACATTCTGATGTAATTCCCTTTCTTCTTATATGTATAAAATGCTTGGCACATAATGGATAGTTAGCAAATTGCTGTCTTTCCTTTCCCCTGATTTATAGCATCTGCCAATTTCCAAGGCATAAATACTCCCACTATGGTCAATTTCAAACAACCCACATGACACTGAATGCAGACATGGGAAGAGAGGTATACAATAAGCTCTTCTGAGCTAATGGTGAGCCAAGTCTTGCCCTAAGTCTGTGACAGCAAGATGAACATTTCCACAAGATATAATTCATAGGTTTCTATTTCTCTTCTTGCTAAAGAAACCAAAACACATAGGAGATGCCTGGTAAATACTAAATAAATGCTGTTGATGGTTACTTACCTGATGATATTTGAGGTTCTCTTGGAAAAAAATAGTACCTCTAATATCTCCTGAAAATGTCTCACACTAGATGACTATTTTAATTATAAAAACAGAGAAATGTTGACTATAACAAAAAAATTTCCCTCTTCATCTGCAAAGATAATTCACAAATGATGCACTAATAAAAAAATATAATTTAACCACTTACTTTATACTTTTTTTAGAATAAGACTATTTTGAAACCAAATGGTAAAAAGATTCCTTTTTAGTTATTAATAGAATGATGCAGGTATACCAAACTAAAGACATTACATCTTATCACCCTACCCCCGCATAGGAGGAAAACAGTATAGTTTTAACTGGGTCAGCTGACAAGAAATAGGATATATGTCTTTTATGTATGAAAAAGAGGGGTATTGATTTTTTTTTTTCCCCTGTACTATAAAGAACTATTGTTGAGAAGCCAGACCTTGGTCATTTATATTAAAAGTCAGTTTTCTAAAACAAATGACTACTATATATTATTTGTAAAATAGTTTAACATATATATATATTGAAGACAAGATAACTGGAATAGTACTCCTTATAAATAAAAGGATAGAACAGCTGGTTCTGAAATGGTTTTAAAGCAGTTCTCAATCTTGGCTGCCCATTAGAATCACTGGGAGAAGCTTTTTGTTTTGTTCTGTTTTTTAGAACGTACAGTAAGTTGTACAGGAGAAGCTTTTAAAAATGGAGCCTCAGCCTCCCAAGCAGCTGGATTACAGGCACGAGCAGATTTCTTAATGTGATCATCTGCAAGCACTAAAACTGACCATTCATTCTAGGGAGTCTTGGTAAATTTTCACTAACACGATCTGGATTGCACAGGATTAGATAACCATGGAAACGCTACCTCTAAGTCTGATAACTGCAACAGTGCAAATCAACCAGCAATAAAGTAAAAATTGAAGAACAGTTTACTACATAAAGAAAAGAACAGAGAAATGTTCTATTACTAAAATCTGAAAATTAGATTTTATGTTATTTTGAGACAGGGTCTTGCTATATCGGCCAGGATGGTCTTACACTCCTGGGCTCAAGTGATCCTCCCACCTCAGTCTCCTGAGTAGCTGGGATTATAGGCAAGAGCTACTGCACCTGGCTTGAAAGTTAGATTTTATATAATATTTATGAGAATTTTATGTTCAAATAATTCGTAAAAAAGGATTTATATTGTGAGAAAATGACCAAAACAAATACATTGCCTTAAAATATTAATGATAAAATCATGGTGGTATACTTACTGCTTCTATAGCTTGCAAAATGAAGTTGGACTGGGAATAATCTCTAATATCCCATCTTATTTTAGCATGCAATGAACTATAGTTATGGAAAGTAAGCCAAGAATACCTTTTGCTAAATTTGGATATTCAAAAAAAGACAAAACTATCCATGTACTTGTTTGCAACTCAAGGCAACCCTCAAAGTTTTTTTTTCTTGGTGGATGAATTATTTATTATATGTAAATCACCTGGAACAATGCCTGACATATATAATAAGTGCTCAACACATGTTAGTTGTTATTTTTCTATTTCTTGAGAAAGAAAGGTAAAGAGAAAGTAGCAATATAAATATTTCTTACCTGCTCTTGAAGGCTCTGAGCCAATGCCTGCTGAAGCTCTTGTTCTTCCCTTTCACGGTCCATATCATACTGCTGGAGCCAATCAACTTCTCCCTGAGAAACTTCTGGAGTTTTGTTTTCTTTATTCTCATCACAGTCTTTAGTTATCTCAGTAAAACTGGCAGGATCTGAGGAAGCAGAATATAATATTATTTTGGGAATTTGTCTCTAATAAACTGAAATTTCTAGACTAGAGTGACATCTACTGTTCAGAAAGGAATTTACTCTAACCTCATCTATAATTTGCCTGGGACATACAGTTTCATATTACTATATCTACATCAGGATTTCTTAACCTTAGTAGTATTGACATTTTGGGTGGGACAAGTTTTTGCTGGGAGTAGGGGAATAGAGTCTGTCCTATGCGTTGTAGAATGTTTGGCAGCATCCCTGGCCTCTACCTACCAGATGTCAGTAGCACTCATCTTCTACAGTTGTGACAACCAAAATGACAGACATTGCTACATGTTCCCTGGAGGACAAAACTGCCCTTGGTTGAGAATTAACAATTTAGAGCCATGGTTCTGAAACTTAACCAATCACTAGAAACACACTATGGTTAATGATGGGGAAGAACAAATAGCCATATTCATAGATCATAGTGTCATATGACCAAGCACTAGAAATACTGTTTAAGAGTAAATGAAATAAGAATCAGGCTTAAAATTACTAATATTGAGATCTTCCCATTTATTATACTGTATGTTAACTGAACCTGTTTTCATATTAATAATCAAACAAACATTATATATATTCTAAATCAAAAGAGCTAAGGATAAAGTAATAAGCACTGTACAGTCTATGGCAATATACAGTATATGTTTAAAACATTCATTCTGGGAGGTAAAAAAAATTAATCTTTCATTTCTATTCTTTTTGCTCCTTCTCAATGAACTATGGCTAGCTAGGATAAATAAGATAGTCATGATTTTGTTCTGGTTATTTAAATTGAGAACAGCAACATTTCATTATAATTTTTAATACTGGTAAGAGTAGGGAGAAGAGGATTCTTCTTTTTAAAATTATATCAAACACTTCACCAAAGTAAAAAGTCTCAACAAGTTAAGAAAATACTGGTCAACGAGAATTACCTTTATACATTCATGGTATACAGATTGTTTTTAAGTTACCATACGCTCTTTTTTGGTTTTTTTGAGACAGGGTCTTACACTGTTGCCCAGGCTGGAGTGTAGTAGCACAATCATAGCTCAATGCAGCCTCAAACTCCTGGGCTCAAGCAATCCTCCTAGCTCATCCTCCCAAGTAGCTGGGACAAACAAGTGCAAATCACCATGCTTGGCTAATTTTTATCTTTTTATTTTTTGTAGTGATGGAGTCTTACTATGTTGCCCAGGCTGGTCTTGAACTCCTATCCTCAAACAATCCTTCTGCCTTGGTCTCCCAAAGTGTTGCGATTTACAGGTGTGAGCCATTGCACCCAGCTGGTATATGCTCTTTACCTGCCCTAATACTGCATTTTATTTTATTTTTGAGACAGAATCTTGCACTGCTACCCAAGCTCACTGTAACCTTGAACTTCTGGGCTCAAGTGATCCTCCTGCCTCAGTCTCCCGAGTAGCTAGGACCACAGGCACACACCACCATGCCCAGCTAATTTTTAAAAACATTTTTGTAGAGAAGGGGGTCTAACTATATTGCCCAGGCTGGTCTTGACCTCCCAGCCTGAAGCACCTCCCACCTTGGCTGAGATTACAGGTGTGAGCCACCATGCCCAGCCAGCACTGCATTTTAAATGGATACTTTTCTATAACACAGATAACTCCAAATCTCACAGCATCTTGGTTTTTAGATTCTAAATCGGCAACTAGTTATCATTTTGAGTTGTATTGCTGAGAAAATATTTTATCACTAAAATAAACTGAATATTTATTAAAAGAGAAAAAAACCTCAGCATTTATTAGGTGCAAAACTCCCAATTTTTTTTTGAGATAGGGTCTTGCTCTGTCTCCTGGGGCTAGAGTGCAGTGGTGCCATCACAGCTCACTGTAATCTCAAACTCCTGGGCTCAAGCAATCCTCTTTTTTTTTTTTTTTTTTT